ATTCCAAGTCAAGATACTTTTAAAAGCGTTTGTATTACCAAAATTTCTGAAATACCATTTGTCGAAGAAATAGACTCAAGTAGTCAAAACTTAATGCCGTCTGGGTGGTTATTTATTCAACAAAGTACAGATAGCGAAACAACCGAATTAAAGCAAAAATTACAAAATGGTGAAATAGATAAAAATCAGTTTTGTATTATTGGAAGTACCCTGTGTCATTTGAGTAATATTAACTCCGAAAAAGTTACTCAATATTTTGTTCCCAAAAATGCCAGGTATTCGTTAATTAAGGAATATCACGATGGGCAAGCTCATGTTGGTCTGGATAAAACCATTTTAAGTATAGCTTCACATTTTTGGTTTCCTCGAATGCGTCAATTTGTAAAAAAATATATTGACTCATGCCTCACCTGCCTTACCCGAAAGCGCCAGCCTCGTCGAGTTTTCAACGAAATTCACTCCATTCCGAAGATAGATATCCCTTTTCATACCATTCATGTCGATCTTCTTGGACCTTTGCCGAAAACTGAAGAAGGGTTCACTCATGTGTTTATAGCAGTCGATGCATACTCAAAATATACATTTTTATATGCTGTTAAGAGCTTGAAAACTGAAGATTTGGCCGATTGCGTACAGGATATTGTGTTTTTGGTTGGCACTCCAGCTCGTATTATCACAGACAATGCTTCTTCTTTAAAAGCCATTCAAAATAATCTCGAATGGGACATCGAGTGGCATTTCATTACGCCCTATGTACACCAATCCAATGGGCAAGTGGAACGTTACATGCGATTTGTTTCTAACTTGCTAAGAGTTCAGGCCGACTGTACCGTTCAATGGAGTTCGATGGTATCTAGAATTCAACTGGTAATCAATTCAACAGTTCACAAGACAACTAAGAGGACACCACTTCAAATTCTCTTTGGTTGTGACAACAGGCTACCAGAGATAAGCCGGATCATTGAAAATGCCTCAGATGATAAATTACCGCTAGTCACAATGGAACGTGAAAAATGGAGACAGTTTGTTAATAGACGTCTCTCAGAAAACGCAACTGCTCAGGATAACTACGCTAAAAGGAACTCATCAACTTCCACAAAATCATATAATGTGGGAGATTTTGTTTTGATTTCAAGAGAAGCTTTAAAACCCAAAAAGTTGGAATCTGGTTGGGTAGGACCTTATAAAATAACAAAAAAATTACCAAATAGCAGATATGAACTTCGAAGAGTTGACGACGTTTCCGAGTCCATACGAATGACAGTAGCTGTTCCAAGTCAAATGCGGCTATGGACCAAAGAATGGTTCCCGAACGAATGCGCAGAGATATTAGAAAGTTATTTTGATATGGATGAAAATGTCAAGGTATGTTTATTACTGTATTAATTTGCCGTGTTAGCGATGGAAATTATTTAGTCCTGGAGTATCTGGACCTTCATGTTGCATCTTGGTTTTCTGGCCGGCAACGATTATGCCTTGGGGTGCTTGGACCATTTTGGTTTTCTGGCCGGCAACGATTATGCCTTGGGGTGCCTGGACCATCTTGGTTTTCTGGCCGGCAACGATTATGCCTTGGGGTGCTTGGACCTTGATGTTAACATTTTGGTTTTCTGATCGACTATCTAGTTTCAGATGTTCATAGTAATTTGACCTTAATATACATTTTGGTTTTCTGGCCGGCAACGTTTATGCCTTGGGGTGCTTGGACCTTAATGATATATTATGGTTGTGTGTTGATTGCAAAGAAATATGACGGGTTATTTTAACCTTGGGGTACCTGGATCTTGATGTACATTTTGGTTTTCGGGCCGGCAACGTTTCTGCCTTGGAGTGCTTGGACCTTAATGTCACATTATGATTTGCTGGTCGGTTATTTTAACCTTGAAGTGTCATGAGGAATTTTATATTTCTACAAAGAAAACCTCTGTTGATAGGGATTTCTTTTGTTTCAGAACGATAATCGTCAGGATGAAGCCGAGTCGTCTTAATAAGTTATTATAGTTACGTTATTGTAAATGTTTTAGGAATAAAGCTAATATTATTCTTATAAATCGAGTTATAATTATTATTGGGCCGAGAGCGTCCCAATTTCAGGATGGCCGTGTTAGCGCGCCACTGTGCATATATGGCACTAGATAATATAGACGTATTCCGTTTGACATGTCCAAGCAGTTATTCTTATTCGGGCGAAGAGTAACTACGTGCCTTGTCTTGATACGGTATAATATTTAAAATCTAAAAGGATCTATATGAAAAGACGAATTTCACTATAAGTCTACGACATATACACATAATTATATTGTAAATATTATATTACAATCAATTGTGCGGTTAGGTTTACCGTAAAAATATAAACCAGAAAATATTTGCACAAAAGAAAGTGATTAAGTACGCCACTGTTATTGTGATAAAGCAAGGCATAAACCATATATTTAAGTGTTACAACATAAATGTGCATATTCAAATGTTTATACGAATTAATTCAAGCGTAACGAAATTATTCATAAACTTAAGTGCTAATTTGAACGTTTTTTATTTTATTTTAATGGAAGAAATAAATTATTTTAAAGTAGCGATTTTTCATTTAAAATTGGAAAAACTGAAAATGCATGTATGAGTCAGTGACTTTGTATTTGGCTACTCACTGTTTACATACATTTTTTTTGTCTATATTTAACACAATGCACTGTTACTATCATTGTACATAAATAACCATAATAATACTTATAGATAAGTAAAATAAATTTTATGAAGAAAACAAACAAAGATTTAAAAATAATTAAGTACTAATCAACGTTTTTAAAACTATATTCTCCGGTATTTAACAGTTAAATAGCACAAATGACGTTTAAAAATGATAATTTAGAGTTGTAGAGAATATTTTATGAGTTTCAAATGATTTTAAAGTATTTGTGTGAAGCTAAAAAACAAAAACTATTTACATGGTATACACACATCCCCAAAATTCTTGGAACCCCTTATGTTTGTCAAAATGAGACACTATTATTAAAAGTCAAGAAGTGTGTTACATAGTACTTTTAATTTGGTTATGTATCCAATACAAATTGGCTGAATTAAATTTTAACTGAACAAGAAAAAAATGATTACTAGAATTTGAAATCCAGAAGAAAACCACTTTAGAGCGAAATCAAAGATTCATTAATATTCGGTGTGTCCTCCCCTGTCCTGTAGTAAGGTATTAACTCGCCTGTGCATGGAAACAATAAGAGTATTATTGTAATCCATTGGTATGTTGTTCCATTCTTCTTGGGCCGCGACTGTAAGTTCCTGGAGGGTGATAGGAGGATTAATTCTGTTTAAGATTGCTCTTCCAACGAAATCCCACATGTGCTCAACGGGATTCATATCTGGCGAATTTGCTGGCAACGGTAATCTTTGAATATTCTGAATTTCTAGTGCATTTTGCACCCTTGTCGTGCGATGGGGCCTAGCATTGTCATCCATGAAAATAAAATTGGCTCCAATTTCATTTCGGAGAGGATAAATAATAGGTTCAATAATGTTTCGAACATATCTATCAGCTGCCATTGTCTCTGGAATGGGAATAAGCTGCGTACGACGACCATGCATTATGCCTCCCAAAACATTACTGTTCCTCCTTGGTATGGAACGACTTCTCTGGTAAAAGATAGTCTTTCTGGTGGTCACCCTGGCCCTCTCCAAACTCTGTGTCACCGACTATCACTAATTAAACCATATCTGGTTTCGTTTGAAAAAAGAATATATCGCCACTGAGCTAAAAGCCAGTCTCTGTATTCCTGTGCCCACTGTAGACGGATAACCTGGGTACTATTAATGGTCTCCTGGGTCTCCTAGATCGTAAATTAGCTCCAGAAAGTCTCCGACGTATTGTGGTACAGGAAATGAATCGACCATACGTTCTTCTAAAATAAGTTCTGACAGCTTAGACTGTTACGGTTTGATTCCGACGTACATAACCTGCTACATACCGATCTTCTCTTGGATTAGTTACCCTAGGACGCCCAGTCCCACGTTTCCAGTCAACGCTGTTAGTTTCCTGGTACAAAGGCACTATTCGAATAACTGAAGCGCGGGGAATCCCTAGTCTATCTGCGATTCGATGATTCGGCAGACCCTCATCATGCAAAGCCACTATTATTGCTCCATTGAACACCGACTTTCTATTGCCAGGCATAGTTGCAAAGAAAAACTCAACAATAACTTAAACACGCAAAATCGATATGAACCACTTTTTAAACATTGGTACCTAAAATTGTGGGAAATTGTTTTTGTAAAGATTTTTAGATGCGTATCAACGGTGAAATAAATAAAGATTAAATGTACAAAAAAGCAGCCATGATAAATATTTCGTTTTAATATTTACGAGGGGGGTCCAAGAATTTTGGCGATGTGTGTAGTTCGCATCTTACTTGGTAGTCTAGATTACTTTTGCTAGCTAATGATCCACAAAAAATATTACTAAAGTGGGCCAAGGCCCACTAAAACTTATTTTAGAAAAAGAAGAGGAATTGTACGCTCCAATATGCGTAATTTTCTCCATGGCCTAGTTCCGAAGCATTTTTTGTGAATAACTCTTCTAAACTGACTGACCCATTCGAATACCCTGTAATAATATTCCCGAGAATATTCCCCTCTTTCATTTGGCACAAATTGTTATTGAAAAATGTATATATCTACTAGGTTCCTACAGTTGCTCGGTACAGTTGCGTCTATAATTTAACTTTTTTTTTGGGATACTCCTTTTGATATTTTTAGATATTTCAAATATTGTTTCACACGTTTATAAATTCCAACAAACTTCACATTAAACTGATTTAAGATACAGCGATAATATCAAGCATTATATTTTTTTCAAAATTTGGCAAAGTAAAATTCCATTTTATTTTTTGTAATAAAATGTAAAATTGTAAATATTTATTGTTATTATTGTAGTAAAATTGAAATAGAAGAGGTAAAAATGTAGAATAATCTATTTATAAATAATAGTAAGTACTTACTAATAACGTGTATCATAAATGAACCAAAAACAACCATCCAACCCCACCCACCGTCCGGAGGAGGGGGTAATTCGCTGTCTTCATCTTCTTCTCTTCGTTTTGTACTCCCAATAGACATATTATATCACTGAAACAAAGAAGAATATGATTTTACTTATATCTGTAAAAAATAATCAGTAAATGGCTGAGGATGTTAAGTTTTTCAAAGGACATTTAAGCAGCGTTCCAGTGCAGTGTAAAAGCAATTTATTTATGAAATGTAAGTGGAATGAATACTTTAGTGTGTACAAATTGATTTTGTTTATTAATTATTAGACTGAGCGCTTTCGGTTTACAAAGCCATCATCAAATCCTTCCTAAAAGGCGTTACAAATTACAAATTTTAAATATTAATAGATGACACGTAAGTTCTGTCATATACAGGGTGTCCCGAAAACGTTTTTTTTTCCGAGATACAGGGTGTTAAAAGTGAAGTCCTGATGACACACTTTTGTAAATTCTTTCTAAACGTTTAAAGATAACTAAGTGAAATTCGGTACAATTGCTTACCTTTTTACGCTCTATTTAATGGACTAAACCCCAGTTATTGGCCTAAGGTTTTTTTGTTGACAGTTTTTAACATTTTTGACTATAAAATTTGGAAAACCAATGTTTTCTTTATAATAAAGCTACTTCTGTTACATCTCGCTAGGACGCACCATTTTAAAGAGAAAAGCATTTATAAATTTAATGATAAGTTGATGTTATCTTATTCGAAAGTGTAAACAATAATTAGTAGGCCTCTGGAATCAGAAATTTCATTTTTTTTCTTTGGAAAACAGGTTACTAAAGAAATTTCAGAAAATATTTACAAAAATAAATTTCATCAGGACTTTACTTGTAACACCCTGTATCTCGAAAACGAAATGTTTTCGGACCTATGTTTATATGAACTTTTACTTCTATTTTAGGATGTAGATTACGCTGTAAGAATATGACCGTCTAATTTCGGGACACCCTGTATGATACCTTTCACATTGAATCAATCAAACAATACATTAAGTTGTTAACAACAACAGATTCATTAAAAACATTAATAATATTATAATTAATTAAATAAATTAGACATCGTCTATAGCGGTTCAATCAAACAAGTAGAAAGGGTAGAACAATAAGGTGCCGTCTGCGCATCCATCACGAGTGTAGAAATTATGCATGATTCACCCTTCCACTCTTACACACGTAAATGACAAGGAGAGGTTGACCTAAAGCACTGTAAACAAATTCCAGGATTGGTTTTGTTCAGCAATTATGTTTATGTTCAGCTCTGTTGTTTGTTTGTGTTGTGACTGTTGGAAGCTTCTTTGGCGTCAATTCTTTGTTATCTTGCTTATATTTGTGTTTTGATTTCGATTTAGTATTAAATTATACTTGTTAATTATTTTCCGATGTACTATTTTATAATTGTTGCACAAAATGTTGTGAAACCGTCACATTGACAGTTATCATTCTACTCCTCTCCATTTCATTGTGTGCACATACTTTGATTTTCTTTTACTATACGGAGAATGGTCGCACTGCGCAGCTTTCTGAGTGTCTCTTAAAAGGAGATAGAAAACTACGCCATTTTGATCCCTTATTACGTGTTGCCTACATCTTGGCGCAATATTTTTAATAGGTGCGTTTTAATCATCCACTTCTGCTTCGGAATTGTCGGTTTTCTTGTTTTAATCTGACAGGTTAAAACGACTAAACCGACAATTCCGGAAGCAGAAGCGGATGATTAAAACGTACCTGATATTTTGCTTGCTGCTGTCAGTGTCAGTGAATATTATTTTTGGAGTCACAGTTTATTGCTAAAGAATCAGTTAGCTCACTCGGACCAGTTGAAAGTTCCAAAATAACATGCACTCCAGTGATAAAAATTCAGGGTACGCAGAAGACTGCTGTTTTATTATAGGCGGTTGTCATATATTGTATTATCCGAGTTGCGCAGTGTATAAACTGGAACATTGAGATCAAAAGTGCCGACGTAGAGTGAGCGATCTGATTTTTTAGCTATAAACTGTGGCATAGGAATCAAAATGGCCGCGCCCTATGTTGGGCGAGTCGGACCTCTCTCTTGCACCGTATAGTAATCAACGTATGTGATTGTGTTCAATAGGTGACAAGCGTATCTAATTTTGACATTTGACAGCAGACATATGACATAGACAGACTGACACAGGACAATGACAAGTAGAATGAGTGTTCGATAGTTGCTCTGGGGTCAATCCAGGTTAGATCAAACTTATCATAAATATAGCAAACATATTTAGTAATGAAAAAGAGGAAAAAGAAAAAACCTAAGTATATTTGATTTTAGGAAACTATTGTACATCGGAATTTGGAGAATGAAGGGCAATGACTCTAGATCTATAGTAGGCCAGATAACTTGAAGAAAATAGACGTGAGTAGACCATGACCCATACATGGTACCTAGTCGAAGAAAGAAGAAAGGAAGGAAAGAAGGAGAAAAGAAAGTGTTAAAGAAAAGTGACAAAGTTATAGAAAACATCTAGATCATAGGCAGCAACAAAGTAGAGTAAAGATACTTATTTCGCCTTTTATGACTCAGCTGTGTGCTGAATTGCCTATTCTACGACCGGACAATCATAGTTAATATGATGTATAGTATGGTCCACGAAGGGTAGGCTCCAAAATCGTTAACGAGGCTGAAGTGACAAACAAGCCTCAAATCTACCATTTTAAAAAAAAAAACAAAGAATATGTTAGCGACAACAAGAGCAATAGCGACCTGTCTATGACTATGACTATGAAGAAGGGGGAGGGGGTCGACGAAGTATGACATTGGGTGACAAAATCCATGGACTCAAGATGAATAAGTTTGAATATTTCAATAATATAAATAATCGTTTTTTGGTTTGTAAATTATTTAAAATGATTGATTTGATGTTGATTTTATTAAAATAATTTAAATAGAACTAAACTTAATTTCGGAACTGCTGTTTCAATTTAATAATTTCTAGATGTAAAATTGCAAAATATGTGACGTCACACTAGGGAGGGGGGGAGGAGTCTCACAAATGTGACCAGCTGTGTCTAGGACGGAGGAGGGGTCAAAAATCATAAAATTCGTATGACGTAATTTATGGATGGCCCCTTATTGTATTTGCAATAATAAAATAATTTAATTAAAAAAATATTTTTATTAGCATTTTTTGTTGTAAGTACAAAGGGGGTTATGTGCCATAGATTGAAATTGTCTTCAGTGGTGGCTTCACCAAAATATTGGGGGTTCACGATGACAGAATATAGATCTTGGTATAGCTGTTCCAAAAAGAACGACACAATATTTAGGCTCTTAAAATATTATAAAAATTTTCGAAAAAAATTTATATTTTTAAAAAATACAGGGTGCTTTGCTAGCTTCAAACGAAATCAGCAGAGCACCTTGGTTTTTAAAGCTTTTTTCTAAAAACAACCACACCGCATTTGTAGGCTATTTTTAGACTATTGAAATATTATAAAACTTTTGTAACTTGACAAACCGGACCCTTACCTAGTTTTGCAAATACTTATAACCTTGGCCTAAATTTCGTCTAGTGGATCCCTACGAAGTGATGTTAAAACCCCCAGAATTACGTTTAGAGTTCAATGTAGGTGTAATGGAGGAAAAACAAAGGAAACACCGAGATTAATTTTGAATACTGTTTATTTAACATCTATTCTTTTGTACAGCCGAACATTTAGATTATGTGCCATTTTTAGGCTTAACATTATGTTTATGTAGGCTTTCTAATGTGTCATTTCTAACCTCAGAGCTTTTAGTTCCCATAAAAGGGTAAAATAAAAGTCGGAAGTACTTTGGTATGTTTGTTGTCTCCTAATATACAATCACACGTTTCCACGGAACTACTGAATTACGCATTGTCTAATAAAAGAGAGTACAACGGTAGCACGAGGAGTGTTGTGAGATATAAAATATTGCGTCGAATTGAGAACCTCTTCCTTTTTGAAGTCGGTTAAATTTAATATTTCTAATATGTGTAAAAACCGGAGTGTAGATTTACCTCACCGTGCGTCACGCCTTTCTCTAATATTCCAACGCCGTAATTTACCGACATACTCAGTCCTGTATGGACAACACTAAACGGTCGATCGGAGAACACCTGATATAAAGGGGGATGCCCGTCAGGCCCACTTTTGGGGTATCTCAGTAGAGATCCATCCAAGCCTCTATCAGGCTTTAATTTACATAGCCGCAAGGGAAATACCATTTTTAGGCCCTTACTATTGAGGTCCCTGGCGATCTATGGTGGCCTAAGGCTTATTTTTTTGGCACGATGCTCGTTTCCTCTGTCGATTGACAAATCAGTGTTATTAATCACAGTTCTGAGGATACGTTAGCTAGCCCACAAACACAATTTCACCTATTTATTCTAAATAAATAACAAACATACCGACTACTTCCGCGTAATGTCCCGCTAAAAGATATGTGGATATGTACAAATAAATACGACCCTCCTCAATATTCATGATTCTACCCGCCGCTGTACATATCTCCTTTTTCCCGAAAATTCGATACACAAAACTAAAATTCCGTACGGCTAAAATGACACATTTGCCTACCCAATTTTGTTTTACAAAGAACGACAGAAAACATTTTTTAACCGCAATCTAACTGTAAAATATATACAAATCAAGGCGTTTATCCTACTAATCTACATCTATTTGCCATTTAAAAGTAAAACCGAAAGTGCTTTTTATCTTTACTGAAAGGGGCAGGTACTGCTTACAGACAACCGAAACTTTACAATTCGGCCCTTTGGCCATAAATCTAAACGACTTAATTTATTGCTTGAGAGCATTGACCGACTTTACAACAATTAATATTTATGACAACAACATCACTATCGATTCTCTAAATAACATAATTTAGCACAATATAAAAACCCTATAATTTTTCCCGCAACAAACGTTTACCAATGAATACCCAAAAATATGACAATAACACACAGCCGCGAATTTTCCCGCTAATGAATACAAAAGTAATAAAGTGATACCTGTAACCTATTAATGTTGGTCTAAATTCTCCCCCGGAATATCTGAATATTAAATACTAGTTTGATTACATTAATAGTGCCA